GTTGCAATGTGTAAATTGCAACTCCAGAAGCATTTTTTTTTATAGGATCGGGGTGACAAACGAGCACACAGTCCACCTGATGGTAAGTGGTTACTGTGACCCATAGACATCTACATCTATCCTCAATAAAGACTCAAGATGCAGATGCGTTGTCACCCGTGAGGCCTAAGATGGAATGCCTCTTTGCCAGTAAAAAGGGTCTCCGGTTCTCTACACTCACCATACGAAACACAGCAGCGTTAAGCTGCTATTTTACGCTGGTTTTCTGTGAGAGCGTGGTCCTTCCCCGGTCGAGCCGACCCATTCGTTGTTCCATTTTTTGTCAAAATGAGTCCATATCTCACTGGGTTTTCGAGACATTTTGAAAATCAAACCAGTTCCCGTCTAATCAATTAAAAAGTCTAAATAAAAAGCTTAATAGTTAAAACAAAAAATATTTAAATGTTATATAAACTTACTTATATAAATACACTTACACAATTCACTTAGTTAACTAATTTTTATTTTCTTTACACTAAACACTAAACGCTAAACTAATAATTAAAAATCATAAATTCTACAAAATAATTTACTGACACGACTGACCGGCACGCACGCACTTTGCACCAAGGACAAATCTGCATCTAAACGAAAACAACATGAAAACAAAAAAATATTTCTAGTAAAGACACACTTAACCAAAAACAAAAATAAATCATCACACAATGTCGCAAATATAGTCTTTAACAACTGTGTAACTAGAACGATATTGATTGCATATTTCAAAGATTCTAGTAAACAAACACCCAACACTGAACCAAAATTCATTTACGCATAATGTCGCAAAGCAAATATAGACTTTAAGTATTTAACAGTAAGGATAATATTGATCGCATATAATTCAATGTGCAATAGATTTCATAGCGGACAAACCAAAATCCAAATCACAAAATTCGCGCCATCCTTTTCATTCCGCTATGTCATGTTTGGTTAGAAAGAGAGAAACTGAGAAAACGGATTTCTACGCATCAGTTTGCGTTTCGATTTGGATATTGTCGATTTCGGATTTCGATTTCATTGTCGATTTGGATTCGTCTGTACCACAGATCGTAAGAGCTTAGCTTAGTTAGGTCGATTTTTGAAATCGGATTTTATAGTTTGGGAAATCGATACGAATGGATTTGTGTTTGAAATCGGATTTTAGATTCGTTTTGATATATCTGACGCATGCCTAGAGTGAAGTGAACCAGTGAGCAGTGGCGACACCTAGCGGTTGGTGATTTATACGGAGTTGAGCAGCAGACGCAACTGAGGAGAGCAAGTTTGTATTACCACTTTGTACTTACCACTTTGACCCCTTTCCTAGACGGTGAAGGAATTTTGAGAGTTGGTGGTTGTCTTGAGAGAGCTGACGTAAGTGATGACAAAAAACACCCGATTATCCTGCCATCGAAATCTCATTTCACAAATCTTATCATTGCAGATGCCCATCAAAGAACCCAACACGGAGGTCCTCAAATGATGATTACCTACGATCCAAATATTGGATCTTTGATGTAAAAAATCGTACCAAATTATTTGTACGCAAATGTGTCAAATGTATACGATATGCAGCACAATGTAGACACCAACTCAGGGGACAACTACCTGTAGCTCGGGTCACTCCAATCCGCACATTCTATCAAAGCGGCGTGGATTATGCTGGACCCATCCAGATAAGGACTTCTAAAGGAAGAGGTCATCGAGCGTACAAGGGCTATATATGCCTATTCGTATGTATGGCTACAAGAGCCGTACATTTGGAAGCCGTAACCGATCTTACGTCACAGGGATTCCTCGCAGCCTTCAATAGGTTTGTTTCTAGACATGGCCATTGCGCTGATCTCTACAGCGATAATGGAACAAATTTCGTGGGTGCTGCGCGCGAGCTAAGAACCATAGCTCAGGAAAATTCAACCATAACGAGAGAAATCGCTGAGAGTTTAGCTACTGCTGGGATCAACTGGCATTTTATCCCACCGAGAGCTCCTCACTTCGGTGGACTTTGGGAAAGTGGGACAAAGTCCACAAAACATCACCTTAAGCGTGTGATCGGCACATAGACCCTAACTTACGAGGAGATATCTACTCTGCTGTATCAAATTGAGGCATGTCTTAACTCTAGGCCGTTGTCACAGGTTAGCACCAATGAACAAGATCCAACACCTCTCACACCGGGACATTTTATCATCGGTGAACCCTTGGTGCTTGTCTCAGATGCCAATTATGAAACTTCGTCAATATCTTCTCTGAAACGCTGGCAACTAACCCAGAAAATGTTACAGAACTTCTGGCGAAGGTGGTTTAGCGAATATTTGACTCAGTTTCTGCAACGTCACCGGTGGGCAAACCAAACACCAGAGCCTAAAATTGGGGACTTAGTTTTTGTTAAGGAGGATGATCTTTCTCCAGCGAAATGGCTTATGGGTATTATTACAGAAAAACATAAGGGTGTGGACAATATTACGCGGGTTGTGAATCTCAAATGCAAAGATGCCATAATTAAAAGGCCTATTGTAAAATTTTGTATCTTGCCAGTGGCAGAATAATGCCTACTTTTTTATTCTCTTTCGTGTCAGTCAATGCTTGACACGTTTATTGTTATTTTCAAGCTTAAGTTGTTTTTTGTTTGGTGAAATGAGCATGTTGTAAATGTAAATGTTTAGATTAAATATCTTTGGATTCTTTATTTAAAAAGATTTTTAGGATTTTAAAGATCCTATTTACCTATTTGTTTTTTTGTTACCTATGCACCATGATTCAAACATTTGGATCTACCCACTTTCATATTTTACCTTATCTATTTACAGTCCACTTTCGTTGATTGTTGATTCATGGTGGGCGGGAATAATGACCATTCTGGCCATGGTGGGCGGAATGTCTAGTTGTTAAATAAATATCCTCATTATTGTAGATTAAACTAATATCAATTCATGGTAAAGAGATTTTTTTTTATTCATAGTTTCCAACAACATTTAACACGGTATACAGTAAGATTGTTTTAGTTATAAAAACTCTCCATATCCCTTTGCGCTATCCCTTTGTAAATCACGCAAACAATTGATACAATTCGGAACCACAAGTTAAATATGTTATAGAAATAAATTGTCTTTTCTCGTCAATGAATGTTGGTGTTTTAATCAGGCATTATTCACACATTACATTATTATTGGTGACTTCAATTTACCCTACTTGGAATGGTCATCTGATGGTCCATCTTCGAGACCTGTTATTTCAGTTACTAGATACAGCTAAATTATTTACACTATTTACACTACAGCCAAATTATTATTGTCTTATATTCTTATATCTTCTTTATTAATTTGAAACAAATAAATACATTAAAAATGAAAATAGTCTAATTCTTGATCTTGTTTCTCCTCCTTTCCATCCTCCACCGGACATTTTTATGATGTAAACCAATCTAATGCTCATCAACCCGAAGACAAAAAAAACTTTTACAGACTAAATTATGGCCATATTAATAAAGTTATATCAGAGACTCAACACTCAGAGGATTATTTTACTGGAATAAAATTACATGACATACGTTTCACACACTTAGAAGTTTGAACAGCTCTAAAAAACATTGATCTAATCAAGGGCGTTGGACCTGACAAAATAAAGCCAGTGTTTTTAAAATGCACTTGTAATACAATTTGCATGCCGCTCAGTATAATTTTTAACAAATGTTTCGAAACTGGACATTTTAAACCCAGTGAAAACAAGCATACATTACATCTATTCACAAATCACGTTCTAAGAACAAGTAGAAAATTATCGTCCAATATCAATTCTTCAATTTTGAAAAATACATTATTAGAGGAACAACACGGCATTGTTAAGGGCAGGTCTACACTGACAAATCTTTTTGTTTTTACTAACATTCTTTTTGATAGTTTAGATTAAAAATCTAGTATAGATTAAAAATAAGATATTTAAGCTCGAGCATTCTTAGTTTATAATATATTGTAAAAAGTGTGGTGTCAATGACGAAAGAAATTATTCTACGACGAATAGTTAATTTAAACTGCATTTAACTAAAAAAATAATAACTTTTTCAAGTTCTAGAACACGCAAACAATTTTTGAAAAGTCTAACAAGCTAGATTTAGTAACTTTTGCTGTCGCCTTAAGTGGAAGGAAATTGTAAACGGAATTTTAAAATTGTATTCTTTTCTGGCTCCAGGCGGCAATACTTTTAACATTAAACGAAAGTACTGAATAATAAAGACGGATGTATCGTAATAAAAGAAAGTTAAGTTAAATGGAGCTTGTGATGGCAGATTTTTAAACATTTAAGTACGAGTATATTATTATATTATTATTATGCTAGCAACTACAAATTTCATTTTTATTTCGTATTGACCATAAAAATATATTTTTTTATATTGAAATAACCAACGTACTCATAGACTAAGGTGTGATTTTAACTAAGTTTTTATAGATTCCGTTTTGATGCTCTATGTTTAGAGCTAACGTTGATCACCAACGCTCCTGGAATTCTGCAGTACTCGGTCGTGATCATATTTTAGACGGCCACTGCCTAACATGTGACTATTCGGTTTGATAGACCACAAAATCTTGCAAAAGAACTTCGATTCCTACCAAAAGATTCTCCTAATACGTGAGGTTTTTGAAAATAAAAATAACATCCTAATTATATAATAATAATAATATAGAGAAGGCGGCTGGGTATTATTTCCACCTGCTTGGGTTCCTAAAATATCCTCTCTGTAAAAATCTGAAAATTCAAACTTAACTGAAACATACCGCTGCAAGACTTAAAGATGCTGTAAGCTCATTCTGCGTAGAATGGACTAAAATTAATTATTAAAAGCTGAAGTTACCGGTTAACTTTGATATTAGGACGTCATACACCTCAGTCCCCCGTTACCATACTTGATGCATAGCATTCGAAACTCCGGGAATTAAAACAAGTAAAATTAATGGCCATCAATTTAGTAAAAGTAGTTTTACTCAATGGATAGTGTTCTTTTTAATAAACGAAATCATCATACAGCACCGTTATATGTTAATAATCTGTATACTGCGTGGTGTCAAATAATATCGTCTAGACCGAATTTCGGTCACAGCGGCTAGTCGTAACAGAGACTAGGCATGTGTGCTGAACAGAAATATAGTACAATTCCGGGCTGCTAATGATAATTTCTCTGCAGAAAAATGCAATGCCGCCAATTGACTAAACCCGGTATTTGAACCCGTAAATTCAGTAGTCGCGGTTACGGCAGGCAGTCATATTTTTATTAAGTGGCAATATTTTTTATTTTTTTATCTTTATATTTATTTATTTACTTAAGTTTGTATATAATTTAATGTATTGTAAATAGATGGATTTCATGTCTGAGACGTAGTTTACAATCATACTTTATTCTTAAAATTGTGTCCAGTCACCTTATTATTGCATCTCATTCAAATTCTACCATTGTATTTACTAGCGTTAACATCTTCTTTCGCCACATAATCAATAAAAAGGCCCATGACCTGCAAAGAACTGATTGCAGACTTTTGATGATTTTTTATAGAATAAAAAGTGGGAACATAGTCCACCTGATGGTAAGTGGATGCTGTAACCCCTAGACATCTACATTTATTCTCGATTAAGGATCAAAATGTAGATACGTTGTAACCCCTTATGACTAAGATGGAATGCCTCGTCTCCAGTAAACAGGGTCTTAATTATAATATATCATAAGATAAAATTATACCAGTGTAATTTTTCTCATTTGTTACATAATGCAATATTTTTATATTAAAAGTCATTTGAATCGCAACTTGTTTAGGTACTTATGCTTACAATTAAAATGACAAAATCGGCAAAAGTACACGGGATCTAAAAATAACTAATGCAGTTATTTGTTGTCACCTATTAGGGCTAATATTAAATTATCTAAAGACTGCAAACACCCCACATATGGTCATACTACCTTTCATTTTTGAGAGGGTTAGATGGTTACGGAATTACAATTCTGTCGAAATATTTTTGAATTTTTAAGCTTCCACATTTTCTAACAATAGCATAGATTAAAATAAAAAATATTGTTAGGAAATCATGTTTGATTTATTTTATTTAAATTAAACTAATTTTAACGGATTTTTCGTTAACTTTTGAATTCCCGACGTTTCGGGTGCTTTACAGCAACCATGGTTCGGGGGGAACTGAGGTGTCTGACGTCCCGATGTCATTGTTAGCCCGGCTACCTTCAGTTTTTGAATATCAATTTTTGGTCCGATCTACGAAGAATGAGCTTATAGTATTTTGAAGTCTTGAAGTGGTATACTTGGGTTTGAATTTAATTTTATTAATTAAAGGATCGTAAGCAGATGGCAGCACCCATCCATCTTCTCTACTGACATTAGGATGTTTTTTTTTTTATTTCAATAGCCTCGCGAATCATCCTTGGTAGGAGTCAGTGTTCTTTTGCAAGTATTTGCGGTCTATCAAATCTAATGTAATAGTTGGGACGATCACGACACTGCAGACTTCCCGGAACGTCGGTGCTTCAAGTAAGCTATATGTTCTTTCACGCGGGTTTTTATAGATCTTTTTTTTGTCCTATGTAAGAGAGACCACATTCTGTAAAACATCCGAAACGTAGTGAATTAAAAAGTTAAATTAAAGGCAAAAAAAATCCGTAAAAATAGTTTTATTTAATGCGTAGTCTTCGCGTAAATATAAGAAATCATTATATAATTTATTTATTCTTTATTGCATTCCCTATAACAAAAGAATACAAAGGAAGGATTTTGTCATTGAGCATTCTCTAATAGTCAAAAACATAAAATAAGGAATCATGATAGTATGAGCTCTTGTGTTTTAAAAATAAAACAGTGCTTGTACTAAAACATCGAATCTATTCTGTTTTTAAATAAATTGAATGTTGGCAGCTTATTTACCGTGAATATCAAAAGCAGTTTTTAATTAAAAGCTAATCTCTAAGTCATCCACAGTGTATAGATATTCATTAATATTACAAATTCCTAAATAACATTCATGTTTTTATGTTTAAGAATAAAGTAAATCGAATGTCACCTTATTTCTTTTTGTAATTAGAAACCTAATACGTAAATAAATAAATTTAAATTTTTAAAACATTTATCTATACATATTAACAATATTAAAGTATCTGTCTGTAATCTATATATCTTTACAAGGGTGAAGTCGCAAATATTGGAAATTTTTCAAGATCTTTAGTGACAGGTTTTTCATAGAAATTTACTAACAAAGGAGTTTTATAATTTTTATATTAAAACTTCTATATTGTTTAAAAGCTTTTAAAAAAAATTACTTCTCAAATATCCGCGTTATAAAATAAAATGATGCGTCTTACCTAGTATGAAGAGCACCTCCTACTAGGTAAGACACATCATTTTATTCTATAACGCGGGTATTTGCGAAGTTAATTTTTTTAAAAGCTTTTATATAATGTATTTCCGCAAAGTAACGCCCGATTCTATTAATTGTTTATTGTTATTTTCAAGCATGGCATGCAGTCAAAATTTGAAACGAAGGCATATGTATGCCCTCGTGGAAGTAAATTAATTATTCTCATCAAAAAATTGAGAAAAATTGTATAAAACCTCCGTGCTGTTTGGTACCCCGTAACTTTTTGAGAAAAATATACTAGTTACTGGCTAAATAATTTTATGGTTTAATCATATAAATCTACGCGCATTAACTAATCCTAAAGTGCTAGTGCCCGTGTAAGACCTACCCTATATCGTCCCGTGGGTGTCATAAGAAGCAACAAAGGGAAACAAATCAGGAGACGGGCAGCAGCGTCTCCGCAATAACGACTAAAGTAAAAAAAAACTGTGCTTGCCAACCCACTTGCCAAGCGTGGCAACAATGGTAAATATCCCCCATATGAGGTAATCTATGTGGGAGGCCTATGTTCAGCAGTGGACTTTAGTAGGCTGTAACGGTAACAGTAAAGGCTATTTAATAAAGTTCTTTTTCACATTTTTATAATTTTATGCAATAACATACTTATTTAAAGGTTTAGTGGATGCAGCTACCGAAGTATGTGGTGTAAGTAAGAGAACGATTGAAAGGAAAAATAACACGTTATGGTGGGATGATGAGGTACGGATGGAAGTTGAAGCAAAGAAGAAAGCATGGCTAGATTTACTAGCAACCAAGGCTAGTAATTCTAGCAGTATGAATGATGATATTGAAAGGAAAAAGGCAGTTTTTAGACATCTAAATAAGAGAGTAAAAGAAGTAGTTGAAAGGAAAAAGCAAGAAAGAACGGATGAGAATGATAGAAGAATATCGGATAACTTCCAGGCAAACATTAAAATGTTCTGGAAACTCGTAAGAACTACCAGGGGACATTCACAACAGCCTAGAATGAATGCTATACGAGACCAGAATGGCTGTATTCTGAATGACGAAGTTTTGACTTTAAGGAGATGGAAGGAATACTTTGAAAGCGTGTTTATGAGTGATGAGACGTTTGAATTAAATGAAATAGAAATTCCGAAAGAAGAGGAAATAGATACAGATATAAGTATAGATGAAATAATGAAAGCAATGAAAAGTATGAAAGCAGGTAAGGCAGCCGGTTATGATAGAGTATCTCACGAAATGCTAAGGGCTGGAAAAGGAGTGGTGGCAGACCTGCTGAGCACCTTGCTTAATTTATGTTGGGAACTTAAGCGGGTACCGGGAGACTGGTGCAAAGCCGTGATAGTTCCAATATATAAGGGAAAAGGATCACAGCAGGACTCTAAAAACTACCGTGGTATCAGCCTTCTTAGCATTGTGGGAAAACTGTATGCTAAGGTACTAATTGAAAGAGTTATGAAAGAAACTGATGGAAAAATTTGGGATGTGCAAGCGGGATTTAGAAAGGGAATGGGATGTACGGATCAGGTATTTTCCATGCGCATGATCGCGGAGAAGTTTTTGGCCAAAAACCAAAAAGTTTTTTGTGCGTTCATAGACTTGGAAAAGGCTTATGACAGAGTGGACTGGGATGTGTTATGGCAAACACTGAACTCATTTGGGTTGACCGCTGGTCTGATACAGGCATTGGAGTCTCTATATAGGGACTCTAGTGCTTGTGTCAGGACCAACGGGGCCTACTCGGACTGGTTTGACATCCATAAAGATGTCAGACAGGGCTGTGTGGCTTCCCCGTGGTTGTTCAACCTATTTATGGACAGTTGTTTGGAAAATTTGAAAGTAGAAGAATGCGGGTTAAGAATGGGTGAGTTAACCGTCAAATGCCTTTTTTACGCCGATGATCAAGTCATACTTGCATCGTCGGCAGCCGAGTTGCAAATGATGGTTACATTAATGAACAGGACATTAAAAGAAAAGGGAATGAAAGTGAACGCAAGTAAGAAGAAAGTTATGGTTTTTGAAAGAGAAGACAGCAAAACGATATGTGAAATAAGAATAGAAGGGGAGTTGGTAGAGCAAGTAGATGAGTTTGTATATTTGGGATGTTAGATATGATAAGGATATAGAACGACGAGTAAATGCAGGAAATAGAGTGAATGGGGCTCTACACTCTATTGTGAAATGTCAGAATGTGTCCAAAAAGGCACGTATGGCAATTCACAATGCTGTGTTAGTACCTACTTTAATGTATGGTAGTAAAAGTTGGGTGTGGCAGAAGAAGCATGAGAGTAGAATAAATGCTGTAGAAATGCGGTCATTAAGGAGTATGTTAGGGATGAAGCTGAATGACAGAGTGAGAAATTGTATAATAAGAGAAGAGTGTGGTTTGCAAGATGATGTTGTGACCAGGATTAAGAAAGGAATGCTTCGGTGTTTTGGCCATGTAGAAAGAACGAATGAGGAAAGAGTGACAAAGCAAATCTATGTTGCAGAGGTTAACGGCATAGTCGGGAAGGTTCGCCCTAGGCGAAAGTTTAGGAAGTAGGTATATGGATGTGGAGGAAGCGAGAGAGGTGTATCAGGATCGTGCCAAATGGAAGTCCATAATCTCTACCTACCCCTCTGGGTGACAGGCGTGAGTGTTTATGTATATGTATATAACATACTTAACTGTTACTGTTTCAGAAAACTGTAACACAGAATAGAATAGAATAGAATGATTTTTATTCAATATGGGTTATTACATAATACTTATTGAAAGTCATTATTTTATTTACCACTGGTTCGGAAAATACCTCTGTCCTGGGAAGAACTAGCAAGAAACCCAGCGGGACTTTTTTTTTAAAACATAATTTCACTTAACAATAATTTTGTTTATACAATTTTAAATGAATTTTCATAGAACCAGTATGGTGGCGATCACCTTATTCCCAGGGGTTATTTTCATTCATGTATTCCTTGATATTATAATAAACCTTTTTGTACAGTTTTTCTTTAATAAAACTTTTAAACTTGTTTATTGACAAACTTTGAACATGTTCTGGTATTCTGTTGTAAAAGCGTATACATTGCCCCATAAATGAATAATTCTGTGGAGTCTAGTAACTGGCATTACAAGCTTATGTTTGTTCCTAGTGTTTAAGGTATGAACATCCTTATTCTTATTAAAGCTATTTATGTTTTTATGTACATACATTACAGTTTCATAAATATATTGCGATGCCAAAGTTAATATGTTTATTTCTTTAAATTTTTCTCTAAGGGACTCTTTACAATTTAGATTATAAATCGCCCGTACGGCTCTCTTTTGAAAAACAAATATAGCTTCAATATCAGTCGCATTACCCCATAGCAAAATTCCATAAGACATTACGCTATGAAAGTAACTAAAATGCACTAACCTAGCTGTCTCAACATCTGTGAGACTTCTAATCTTTCTTACAGCATATGCTGCAGAACTAAGTCTGCTTGCTAATTTAGATATATGGGGGCCCCATTGAAGTTTCGCGTCAATAGTAATACCGAGAAAAACAGTGGTATCCACAAGACTCAACTCCTCCCCATTTAAGAGCACATTGGTTTTCGAATGTTTTACATTAGGTATTGTAAATTTAATACATTTTGTCTTATTGCCGTTTAAGAGCAAATTGTTGGCGTTAAACCAATGTACTAGTTTCGATAGAGCATTATTTACATCGTCATATTTAATTGACTGCCGTTTCAGTTTGAAAATTAAAGAGGTATCGTCAGCAAATAATACTATATCGTGATTGTCCCTTACAAGATAAGGTAATTCATTAAACTTTGTGATAGTCCTTTAAAGAGAGTCGTCAAATTTAAGTACCTAGGCCACTGGGTAACAGAGGACTTAAATGATGACTTAGATATAGAAAGGGAACGCAGGGCGTTGGCTGTTCGCTGTAATATGCTGGCCCGCAGGTTTGCACGATGTACTAAAGAAGTAAAAGTAACGCTTTTTAAAGCGTATTGTCAGTGCTTTTACACATGCAACTTGTGGGTTAGATATACGCAGCGGGCATACAACGTCCTGCGTGTCCAATATAATAATGCATTCAGGGTGCTGTTGGGATTGCCGCGTTATTGTAGTGCCTCTGCTATGTTCGCTGAGGCACACACGGATGGCTTTCATGCCATTATTCGTAAAAGGTCTGCTTCGTTACTGAGTCGTCTGCGTAACTCAACCAACAGCATTCTAAACACACTTGCTGATAGGTGGGACTCGGCCATTATGAGGCATTGGTTGAGTCTACATGTAAAACTAAATAAGTGAGATATATGTAATGTACGCGGGATGGTTAATTTGATAAGTTAAGAATATAAAGAAAGAGAACTTATTTACTAACACTAGTCTTAAGTTTTTTTTTTTTATTGTTATACTAACATCTCTATGGACTGAGTCTGAATAAAAAATATTATTATTATTATTATTATTAATATAGATTAAGAACAGGAACGGGCCAAGAATCGAGCCCTGAGGAACGCCCATTAATACTACCGATCCGGAGGAACATTTACCATTAATGACGACTTTTTGAGTTCTGTTACTTAAGGACGCGTTTGCAAATCGGGCAAAATTATGCTGTTTTTCGGTACATTTTTAAACAAAACTAAACCAAATCAAATGTAACTAATAACTACCACGTATAGATTGGTTCTTCATCTTCAAATGGTGTTAACTTTTTTGTTGAAAATAATAGTTTGTTATATTGTAAAAACGATCTTTCCTAGCCATTTTCTACAAAATTAACGATACCGGCTCATGTTTCGGTACATTTTTTGTTCTATTATCAACATATATAAGATTTCTAAAAATACGTTATATATTCAATAAAAAATAGTGATGATTACTTTTTATCAAAATGTCACAAATAGTCGTAAAAAAAATAAAAACTGATGCTTTTTTTTTCACATATTTTGCTAATACGGATGAATCATAACGTATTGCAATAAGGGTTATTTTATTTTTGGTGCCTGTTTTGATTTGTTGTACAAAAATTTCGATGAAACCACAGTCCGCGCTCGGCCGCCGTCGTGAGTGATACTGTATCGCCTGATTGCAGGGGCTCATATTGAAAAAGATCGCTGTACATACACAAAATATTGGAATTTGATACATAGGTACTTGACAAGGTAAAATAATATTATCATTTTTATTAAAATATTTTTTTTCGCTAAAAGTGTATTTTACATATAAATACTGTCACACAAGGCGAAGTGTAGGGCGTCCCCCCAGAAGATGGAATGACGACCTGGTGAGACATGTAGGAAGTCGATGGATGCAGGTGGCTCAGGACCGTGCTTTGTAGCATTCCTTGGCGGAGGCCTATGTTCAGCAATGAATTTGTAAAGGGCTGTAATGATGATTATCAAGACATACCTATTCGTCTTGGACTAGTGTGACCTGAAGGTGAACTTCGGTGATGCTACTGGAACTCCGCGACGAGTAGAACTAGATGTGTCGAGTTTGGGCTCGTTTTGTTAGGAATGATAAGACCTTACCTCCAGACTTGATGGAGTGACCTGATGGTGTACATCAGTGACTGCTACTGGAACTCCTGGACGAGTAGTACTAAGTGTGCCGAGTTTGGACTCGTTTTGTTAGTTATGATGAGTTCTTACCTCCGGGCTTGATAGAGAAACCTGATGGTATACTTCGGTGACTACTACGGGAACACCTGGACGAGTAGAACTAGGTGTGCCGAGTTTGGACTCATTTTGTTAGTTATGATGTGAACTTACCTCCGGACTTGATGGAGTGATCTGAAGGTGCACATCGGTTACTGCTACTGGAACTCCTGGACGAGTAGAACTATGTGTCGAATTTGGGCTAGTTTTGTTAGTTATGATAAGACCTTACCTCCGGACTCGGTGGAGTGACCTGAAGGTGTACTTCAGTGACTGCTACTGGAACTCCTGGACGAGTAGTACTAAGTGTGCCGAGTTTGTGCTCGTTTTGTTAGTTATGATGAGATCTAACATCCGGGCTTGATGGAGAATCCTGATGGTATACTTCGGTGACTACTACGGGAAACACCTGGACGAGTAGAACTAGGTGTGCCGAGTTTCGACTCATTTTGTTAGTTATGATACGACCTTACCTCCGGACTTGATGGAGTGACCTGAAGGTGTACATCAGTGACTGCTACTGGAACTCCTAGACGAGTAGAACTAGGTGTGTCAAATTTGGGTTCGTTTTGTTAGTTATGACGAGTCGTTGCCTCCGGACTTGATGGAGTGATCTGAAGGGGCACATCGGTTACTGCTACTGGAACTCCTGGACGAGTAGAACTATGTGTTGAATTTGGGCTAGTTTTGTTAGTTATGATAAAACCTTACCTCCGGACTCGGTGGAGTGACCTGAAGGTGTACTTCAGGTCACTTCTCGACGAGTAGAACTAGGTGTGCCAAGTTTGGGCTCGACTTGATAGTTATGATGAGACCTTACTTCCAGGCTTGATGGAGAAACCCGATGGTGTACTTCGGCGAATACTACGGGAATACCTGGACGAGCACAACTAGGTGTGCAGAGTTTGGGCTCATTTTGTTAGTTATGATGTGACCTTACCTCCGGACTTGATGGAGTGACCTGAAGGTGTACATAAGTGACTGCTACGGGAACACCTGGATGAGTAGAACTAGGTGTGCCGAGTTTGGGTTCATTTTGTTCGCTATGATCAAACCTTACCTTCGGACTTGATTGAGAGACCTGCAGGGGTACTTCGGTAACTGATACTGCAACTCCTGGACGAGTAGAACTAAGTGTGCCGAATTTGGGCTCGTTTTGTTAGTTATGATGAGACCATACATCCGGGTTTGATGGAAAGACTTGAAGGTGTACTTCGGTGAATGCATCTATTAGTTATGCTTCTTATCTTTTGTAGTAAAGTGTATATTGTATAACTTTCATAACTCAATTATTGTTGTAGATGCCGAGATATAAGACATTTGGCAAATGCTCTCGTAAAAGTGTTCGTGCCAGTAGAAATAATTTCGAAAAAGGAAGACGGTTAGTATACAATAAGGTGGCAGGGACATCGACGCGTAACCTGTTACCATAGATTTAGTACATGATTCGGAAGTCCCTGCAATGGAATTGTGGGTTGCGTAGGTAGAATAAAAAGTTACTCACAGTCTTTTGGTATTTACTTCGAATTTCACGCAACACCATATATATACAGAAGGAGTATATAGCACAAGCACAAATAGTTAGCAAGAAAGTATACAGCACAGAGAAGAAACAGAGAAAGTTCACAGTAATAATTTAACAGTAAAAAACAATAATACGTAAGCTGGTAATTTAAAAGCGGTTGTCATCGAGCGACATGCACTTCGCGTCAGGAGCAGGTTCCGACTGGCGGGAGGTCCGTAAGACTCGGACGATGTGCATGAGTCGAACGAGGTGGCGAAAACAAAAGAACCGGTCTCGGAATGTTCGTTTCCATTTGCGATATACGTCACGACGGCGCGCTGGCTGAGTGTTATAACGTATTGTGTGTTAATATAAAATTAATGTATAAATGCATATACATAATATTTTATATAAATATTATAGATATAAAATTAATACTGTTTAATATTAATAAATCAAACACCGCTGCAACTTCTTGATTTGATTTAGTCAATTCATTATCAATTTTTATTTGATAGTTTGAGTTACGAGGTTTCTCTTTACCGGTTTCGCTGTTAATTATACTCCACGTCATTTTAATTTTATTCTTAGCCGTCCTAATTTTGTTACTAATATGTAATGATTTGGCTGTGGAGCAAACTCTTTTAAATATTTTAGAATAATTTTTTAAATATTCTTTAAAAGCATCGGAAAGATTATACGATCTTTCATGGTAAAGGTCATATAACCTTCGTCTGCTTTTATGAATTCCTACTGTCGCCCACTCATTAAATGCCTTGCGACTGTTTCTGGAGAATGTTTAAGAAGTGAATGTTTTAATAAATTCATTGTTTATAAAGGTAAATAATTCTCTATATAAATAGTCTGCATTGTTCTTATAAGAAAGGGATGGAAGGATTTTTAACATATTACTTCTAAATCTCTCCAGGCGTTTTGCATTAATAGGAACAAACACAATTTTCTCAATTACCTGTTCTTTGTGCATATAAGGTAATGAAACCAGTTGTCCACAGTGATCTGAACTAAGTTTTTGAATTATTGATTTGTTGATTGGTACAACACCTGTAAAAATATTATTAATACAAGTTGCACTACACCCTGCAATACGTGTAGCTTCAAAGAATAAATTATTAAGATTATAGGATTTGAACAAAGAACAGAATTTAATAATGATAGAAGAAGTTTCCAGGAGATTGATATTAAAGTCTCCACACACTACAAGAGATTTATTCTGTTTATTAAGCTTAACTAAAAGTTCTTCCATAATTTTTTCAAAAGTATCATAACTTGAACATGGGGGTCTGTAAACACTGACAACAATAAGGTGCTCAAGCTCAACGCATGTCATTTCTACAGTACGCTCAACAGAGAGGCTCACAATGTCTTTACGTTCTTTACATGATAAGGACTTATTAGCTAATATTAAGGAGCCACCACGTAATTTAGTATCTCTATTGAACGAACTGACCACCTGGTGATTACTGAAATTAAATATGGAGTTGTATTCTTTCAACCAATGTTCTGTAATACATAAAATATGTATACTGTTACTATTTAAAAAAAATTCAATTTCTAATTCTTTGCCCAACATACCTTGTATATTTTGATGCACCAGGTTGATACAGTTTTTATTATTGTTATTTTGTAAAATTGCATAACTATGTATTGGTAAGTTGCATTCTAAGCTATTTAAATTATCTTTGCTAGAGATTTCCTCTATTGTCTTGTTATCTAATTTAAATTACTTGGAACTGGTTCCAAACCAAATGTAAAATTATTTTGTTGCTCAAAAGAAGCAGGTGTCAAGGTAGCCAAATCATTGGCTGAGTTAAAATATAAATAATAAGATAGCGTATTTACTACCAGTCTTAAACTATACTTTGACAGGTAATACCTATCTCTTGTCAAAAACTTCTTAGTTAAATTATTAATATCAATTAAATGAAATTTATCATTATTATTCTAACAATTAAATGTCAAAATTAAGTTATTGTTACATGTCAAGTTATGCATCATTAAATTTAAATTATGTCTTAGTTTATTTTCCTGTGGCCATCCCTCTATGTAAGGCAATGTAAACAAGATAACTTTAACCACATTTATGTTATTGAGATATTCAATATATTTTGATAATTGATTCT